ATATGGTATGTAATTTTAAGATACAAGAGTGGATGGGATATATGTTAGATCCGTTATTCTATGGATGGGAACGAGATAAAGATGAACATCTTGCGCCTACATCCGTAACAAAAGAAATTGCCCCCTCTGATATACTAAAAATGGTATTCTGTAATTGCAAGGAAGGGACATGCAACAATTCATGCTCCTGCAGAAAACTTGGATTAAAATGTTCTGCAAAATAAGTCAATGCTCAGGAATGATTTGCTGGAATTCGTGCATCGTATATGAAAATGATGAAGATGATATTACTTATAATTGAACGTAGTAGGTACCTATTCTTTTGTGAAACTGGAAAAAGTCAGTAATTATTTAAATACATGTTGCTGATACATCCCAACAAATGTAAATTTGCATTTTAAGTAAAAAATATCCCTACACTTTTCCTCATAAACCTGATAGTTTTTGAGATATTTGCAATAAAATGTAAAAAACAAAATGGCGGCCGTTTTTTTCAACTTGCCAGAGACATAATCCATGGGACTTTTAGTATGTTGTTTAGAACGTTACTCCTCGTACATTTTTGTTAAGAAATGCTTGTATAGAATTTTTTCAGGTTCAACATCTAACTTGCCTACACTATAGGGATGGTTTATTAATGTCAAAAAAGAGTAATTTCATTGTTTCAACAGATAGGATCCTTTTATTTAATTGAAACCATATCGAATTCTTTTTTTTTAAGTACATATGAATGATGCGATAATTTTTGTGGGGTGTGTATATATACAAGGAAGAGTAGAGAGGCAAGGACTGAGCCTTGGGAGACACCACTAAAAACTTCACAGGAATTTGACTTCATGAACAGCAGAACTATCGATCCTGCAGAAAATCTTGGATTAAGTCGAGTAGAAGTCCTCTTATACCATAGTGATGAATTTAATGAAGGAGCCGCTCAAATGGAACCTTGTCGAAAGCCTTTTCAAAATCTATGTAAAATACATCAACACTGGCGAGAGTCATCTGCCTTTGTCCAGTCATGAACCGTGGTAAGCAAGTACGTCAAAGTGGACCTTCCAGGAATGAAACCGTGTTGGGAAGGTGAAATGATTGCATTTCAGAGCACAAATCCAGTCTTCTCAGATACCAGGACTTTCTCCATGCATTAAGCTAATGGACCTCTAGTTTTCAGGCAGATGTTTGTTGCCTTTCTTGTAAATAGGCACCACATTTGAATGGTTCCATTCCATTGGTAGTTTGCCCTGACTAAGAAGATTGTTCATCATAGCTGAAAGAGGATATGACAGGACTGCAGCAAACTTTTTCAGGAAAATGGCACGGATCTCATCCTCTCCTGGACTAGAATCTGGCTCCAGTGATTTGAGTGCAGTCTCCAATTTCTCAGGTGTAAAATTTACAATTTATCAAGATCAGGATCCAAATTGGACATCTGGCTTAGATATTCTCTTGTAAAAACACTCTTAAACTGTGGCAAACACATTGGCGACTTCTTTCTCATCATTAAGGTTACATTCCTAAGTGAATGTGTAAGTCTTGACCCAAGAGATCTGTTTATTTATAGAAATAAAACTGCTTATCAGAAGAGGCTAGCAATTCTTGTTCATTTTTCCTTCTAGACTGTTTTCTCTTGGCCTTGAGGAAGTTATTTTGGTTCCTGTAGTTCAAGTTGTCATTTTCAGAGTTGCTTTTCAATTTCTTGTGCCACCAATAAAAATGTCTTGAGTAAGCCAAGGCTTCTGGGGATTGACAATCTTCAGTTTGAATGGTATGAAAGCTGATTGTGGATAAGAGAATGTCCATGACCCGCAAATTCTTGGTGTAGATGTGTATTGATTAAAGTTCATATTCTGCAGACCAATATATCCTCTTATATTATTTGATTTGTTGGTTTTGGAGTAACCTGGATTTGGGACTTGACCTACATGGTCACTTAGTCCAACTGGTCGATTATGTGATACATCATCAAAAGCTCTTGTCACTGACTGATAGCAAGTAGAGACTATTCATTTCTTCTTATTCTGGTTGAAAAATTTACAGGTTGAAAGGCATTTATTTCATTGTAGGCAGTTATGAAATGTAGCTACATACATATACATAAATATTTTATTATGGGCATATTTGCGTGTCAGATTTTAAACTGCAAATTTCGCTTAAAATCAATTGCCAGGAACTACATAAACATAATTCTGCAGTCGTTATTGAATGTCGGTATTTGCGGAAGCACACACTTGCTAAAAGTATGAACCATCAGTTTTTCTCTAAATCCAGCACAAAAGAAAATATTTTTTAGAATGCTTACGTTCTTTTCGTGCTCTGCATACTAACTTTTGCTCTATTATGCTTCGTATAAGAAAATTTCAGACGATAGGTTGAATAAAATAATATGATAATAGAGCCCTCTGGCTGAGAATTTAAAATGAGAGTAAACTAATATTTATTTGTTTAGCCAAAGCGAAGTTCTTCACTATATTATTGCCCAAATTGAGACCCATGTTTAAATTAAATCGGTAACAGAGTGTTCAATAATTGTACAAAAGAGAATAACAGCAAACGGCAACAAAATACTCTTCAACCAAATAACTTTCCAAAGTATGTTGGGAATAGTCGTAATTTAAATAGTTCAGGAAATGCGATTTTCAAGGGACAGTTGAAATAGTTAGTCTCAAAATTACTTACTAAAGTCTTTCTTGTATCATTAATGATACAAGATACGAGAACGTACAACTTATTGTTATTCAGCGTTGTTAAACTTCGGTGGATGGAATATAATGTGTAAGATTTTAGTGAAAATTGGAAAAATATTGATTGAAATATAAGAAATATAAGGAACCCGATAAAAAAAAAGGAAATACCGAGAAAAGCAAAGCAAAATGCATACAAACTCGTTAAAAAAGTCCGCTCTGTCGCTTTGTTTCGGTTCAACAACAAGCACCAACGCAATAAAGTTTTATAGCGTCAAAACAATCCGAGAAACAATCCGTTCCTATACAGAAAATAATTTTTGACATAAATTTAGAACAGCTACAATTTTAGATTCAAAGTCAACACCTCACGAGTTGGAGCTTGTGAGTTTTTCAAACGAGAAGCCATATTGACTGAATAAATGCCCACATATCAAATATGAAAACTACGAATTATTAAGCCTGCTCAATTGTTTATTTCGTTGAAGGTCCGTTTGAAATACACTTTTATTTAATAAGGGCAATTTTCGTTATTAGATACACTCGCTTACTTAAAACTAGCAAAACAAATGTATGCTTTTACTCCAGCAGCGAAAGGTAGGTAGGTGTCTTATTCAAAAGCACGAAAGTTTCATGTCCGTATTTCATGAAAGTAATATAACTTTCCAGACAGGCCAAACTTTAGCTTACATTAGTCATAAACTAAAAATAGTGAGGTATTGTTCCTATTCTTACTATAACATTCCAGACGCAATATGCTTTTATTTTCGTACTTACTAGTTGCCGTACTTTGCTTGAATAGCAGCTAGGTATCTATTATAATTTCAAAAGGCGTAAAACTTTTTTGGGAAAAAGCCTAAAAATTCCAATTCAATTTTGCAACCCCAATAATCCGATTTCAAGTCACTTCCAAATGTTCTTGATTAAAAAGTTTACAAATGTTTGATATTTCTAGAATGCGCATCTAAATCAATCCCATTTTCGGGTAAAAATATTCATCATGCCCGAGGAAGAAGCCGTAAGCTCGAATATAAGTTGAAGGCGAGCTTTTTTGAAATTCTTTTTTATATTTCAGTTGTAGGATTTGGCAAGACTTAGAAATGATGTATATGTAAATTACTTGTCTCGACAACCTGATTTCGCCACTTTATTGAATGGATTTTGTGCTTGAAGAGAGATTTGTTATGACATCACAAATTTTAAAGACTATGTAACATAAGCTTTAGATGAACCAGGTGTTTTGATATTAATTTCAAGCCCTCAATCTAAATATTTGGTTTTTCAATTTCTCACTCAGACTAGAAGATAATATATCGGCAACCTACTCTTCCTAACCCCTGGGGCTCCTTCCCGAACTTGGTACAGTGACTCAATAAACCACAGTGGTGACAATAATTGCCCTCCCATTTTAGATTCGTTCTTTAATCCTATATATTCATACTGACTCACTTCTAAATTCATATTAAAAATTACTTAGCAAGAATATTGCGGCGGGGCCTCTATTGTCGCCACTGTGTTTAAAGGTTTATTGAGTCACTGTAGACCTTGGTCGTTGACGCTACCATCTAGCGAGAAGAAAACGCAAATTAATTAAAAGAATAGTACATTGTGTATCAAGGGCGGAAAGAAGCCGATTTCGACAAGTGTAAGGTTATTAAGCGAGTGGAAATCGTCTTCCGCCCGTGGTGCATACAGTACTTTTTGCGTATACCTTCGGAAACATTAAAAAATAAAAAAAAAAAAGCCGAGAGGTTTAAATTACAAAAAGTTTCTGGGTAGGGATCGAACCCACGTTCCCTTCAAGAACTAATGTGGAATGTGGCACGTTGACCGCTGAGCCAATTTGATGCTGTATAAAAATTGGTTAAAATGTGTTGACAAGAGAACAATTGTTCATCGTTCCCAATGTCAATTATAATACCTACTAGAAATCAATTTTTGTTTCAAACTCTTTTTGAAATCAATAAAATCGACAAACATTTATTATTCTCATTTTATGTTCTCTGTATTTTCAGACGTCGCGTCGCGATGATGTTCACGTTTTTATCTTTTTTCTATGGTGTTTCTCTCGGTGTTTCTTCAATATCAGGTAGTATATTCAGGTAGTGTATTCTTCATTATCACAATTATTTTTCCAATTTTTCTGCATATTGCTGGTTTTTTGCTTTATGCTCACAGCAGATGAATAAATGAATGGAAAATCTGAAAATAAAACAATTTGTCTAACCGTCAACCCAACTGTCAAAAAAAAATTTCAGCCAATGGCACATTAAGAGGTACCCCTCTAAGGAGAATACTCGGTTGTTTAGTCAAACGTTAGATTTTTGACTAGTTGTCACTAATATAATAAAATCATCAGGAAATAATAATTTTCACGGTTACTGCAAGGTAAATTATCGTTAATTTTTAACAATTAATTGAATTTATTCACTAGCCATTCAAGGGCACTTTGAAATCTTTCAGTTCTATGTTAATTTTTTCAAATTCGTCGTTGCAAAGAGAGTTTTTCGATATTTTGCGTTTTTCTCATAATAAAAATTAATTATGTACCTATGCGTATATGTCTGGTTGCCTTTCAGGGTTAAAAGGTTGTTGGATTATTTCTAACAAATAAAGAGATTATGAAAAAAAAAAAATCGCCGAAAAACTAAAATACCTATCTATTCGGATTTCAGATAATCGATCAAAGATAATGTTTATGCCGAATTCTGATGTGAGGTGTTTTTTTTTTCCTCATTGCAGACGAATTTAAAAGAAATCAACATATCACAGCTCAAACAATATCATTAGGGCCCCCTTAAATTAATCAAAGGCTCAGTACGTTCGTTAAGCCGCGTCCAGATTAGTAAATAAATGCGTTGCGTTGAATTCGGGATTCGCCACAAATGTTTGCGGCGCAAATTTGGCATCTGGACCAACATAAATATTAGTGTTGTGCGCCGTGCGTTCTTGCTCAGCGCGTATGTGCCTATTTTATTTCAGTGTGCGCGTTGCTTGTTTTTGGTTATTTATTTCGTTCGCGAAAAAATGCGTCCACACTAGAACGATGTTGCGCCGCAAATCCCTTTGATATCTTGAAAAAAAACGACAAGCCGCGAATCGCGTGCGTTGAATGTCGCGTAAATTTTTGCGTGCGTCTGTATGCGGCGAACAGGTCCACACTCGCATAAATTTGTCTCGCACACACAAATTTATGCCGAATACCACGCACAACGTAAATTTTTACTAATGTGGACGCGGCTTTAGATATTAGACAATCCAAATTCCAAACCACGTGACATTCAATATGGCGTGGCGGCCAAAGTTCATTTTGTAGTCGTGTGCTGTCCGCTGTTTTTTCGGGAGTGGTACAGTTTTATAAGGTGTATTTGTCACAAACAAACAAACTTGCTTGGCCGCCACGCCATATTGAATTTTTTTGACAGATGGATTGGATTGCCTAATGCAAGCCTGAAGGTGATCATGTTCACTATGACAGTTATGGTTTATCGCACATTTTTCACAAAAACTATCGTTTCTATTTAGCATTTTATTAAAGCCCCATTATCAAAAGTTGATTTTGCATTGTTTTCAATTGCCTGCGAGTGCAAAATGAGTGCAACTAGTCAGCCAACGTTCGCGAATAAAGATGAGGAAATTAAGTATTGGAAGAACCTTGCCCTGGAACATAAGCGAATGTGAGTAGATTGTGCATTTATGTTATCCGAAAATATTAGTTTTCTTGCTTTGTATTATAGAATTGATCGGGCCACAGAGTTAGGGAATCAATGCCTGAGGCAACTTGACCTGCATTTATCAGAGACAGACAATATAGGGAACGAAAATAGGTGGCTCAGAGAGGAAAACGAAAGACATTCAGAGAAAGCTATAGAACGAGAAAGAGCTATTGCTTCGGCTATTGCCCACCTAGAAAAAGCTATTGAGGAGCTAAAAAGATTCAGGGGGGGCGGCGGTGATGAAACTGCGGGACCTTCGGTACTTAAGTAGAACCTAATGAAAAGTTTCATTCAGCATTTTGTTCCGCATTTGTGTTTTGTTCCTTATATTTAAAAAAAAAATAGCATAGTTGTTTTATATGTATATTAATCGTAGTATGTAGGTTTGTTATCCAAATTAATTACCACTAGACACTAGAAATATTCTTATATTCAGTTTGTTTTAACGACAGTTAAATAACATAGCAACATAGCATAACAAATTTAAAAAACTTTCATAGAATGTAGACAAAATATGTTATTCATTACAATAAATTATACAAAATCGCCAATAAATATTTCATTGTGTCACATATTTTAAATGGTTTTCCTGTGCGATTCAAATATTTGCACATTTTTTCGTTAATGGACTGGTTTCGAATTTGATTTTAAAATAAATATTATAGGATGCGTAACCCAACGTTATAATATGTTTGAAATGAATTCGTGAGGCATACTATACTCGGTGATGACCACGAGATCACCTACCAAGTTCTAACTTAGGCGTGAAAATGGATATCGATTTTAAATTTTGGGGATGTACGCACATGATTGATATCGATGCAGAATTTCAACATAAAATAATTGACTGTCGCTTCCGTGATGACTGAAATGTATAGAATTTAGTTTATAATGCTTAAAATTTCGCGACACATAGAGGAGATGTTGATGGCACTTCCTGATATCAATACCCATACTTCTCCAAAATTCAAATACGATTTCCATGCCCCATGCCCAAGGTGAGTAATCTCGGTGTAGAAACCTAGTGATGCCGCGAGACGAGACTAAAATGACACTCTCGTCTCGTCTCGCCCTAATCTCGTCTCGTCTCGAGGCCATTTAGTCTCGACTTCGAGACGAGACGAGACGAGACTGAAAGAAGCGAGACGAGACGAGATTCTCGACTAATCTCGTCTCGTCCTTCAAATAATCGTTTTAGTTTCTTTTTCAATAATGTTTCAAAGGAGCTACCTACAGGAAATCCTTTATTCGATAATAATATAACGAAAGCAATGGAAATTATCTATAATTTTTGGCAAATTTTCCCAAATGCATTTTCAGTTGAAAAAGAGCACGAGTGCCTTTTTCAGTTGAAAATGCATGAGTGCAAATTTGTCAAAAATTATAGATATATTTTCATTGCTCGAGTTGTATTTTATGAGAGAATTCCATGAATCAAAAATTTGAATTTTTAGTACAGTGTGTTAAGGAATGACCACCCTTCTAAAATTTTTATTTTTCAACCGATTCAATTCATTTTTTTTTTGTCTTGTAGCTACTCGAATTTGGCACTTATTGGGCTCATAATTTTATTTCTACGGCTGCACTGGTTTACAGGGTGTCCACATTTATAGGCTCAAATTTCAATAAGTACTATTAGGGATTTTTTTTAGAAAAAATCTGAGAGCAGATTCTTGTTTAGAATGGTCTAAGACCCTAATGTACAAATTTTTGTTTCAATAGGATACAGGGTGATCACAACAAATTTTTTAAATTTAATGGATCAAACCGTAAAAATTTTATATTACCTAATCTCAATCTGATTGGTTGCAATCAACAATTAAAACATGCCAGTTTATGGTTGGAATACCAGTTTTGACAGATGAATGAAATTCTCTTCAAGATTGACGAATTCATTAACTACTTACTCAAGGTTATGAAAAATAAAACACCATATTTTTGTATTTATTCCTGTTACATGAATTTTATTGAACATCTAATGAACATAAACTGACATCTACTGAACGTATAACCTTAACCAAGGATGGAAACGGAATAAATCCTTCATAAATGATACGTATATGGTATATGCAGTATTGTTCCTGGAGAAATTTCAAATGAACTGAAACCGCAAGGATAATAAACACTACAGGATTGCCCATAAGGTCTGTGTAGTTCAAATCTCAAGCTCCCCACTACGCAAAAGTACCACTGATGACGTAGTCAGCGTGTCGTTCTTCGCTTTAATGTCACTTTGACGTAGGGTGTTTGCACCACAGGCTATGATTCCGCCGACTCTGGCTTTATGAACTTGGTTTCAGTACATTAACTAGCATTCAAAAACAAACCTTTCGTTAAAATCTTTCCTTCATCTTCATCTCTACATATTATGTCATCAATCATAAATTTGAATTCTTAACTACGACCGCTGGCGCAAATAGTCGTCGGCACCGTTGATGACGTTGGCAACGGTGCTACACCATATGATGTTGATGCGACAAATCGAGGCCGATGAGCAATCCTGTATCCTGTAGTAGTGTTTATTATCCTTGCTGAAACGGGTCATGCGATTGTACTGTTTTCAGAGCAAATTGTACTGTTTTCAGAGCCAATTATACTGTCGTAGGAAGTTTGAAATAAAACATGCTGTTACCAATAGCTGTATTCCTTCCACACAAGGAGGGGCCACAGCTTGCGCTAATGTTTCAAGCTCTCGAAAGAAATACAGCTATTGCGTTTCTTTTAGCTCTGGACCAGCTGGACATTGGATTTCATTTAATACGAAATACGAACCAAACCAGCAAGAAAAATCCATAGGTTATGTTGTACAATACAAGCGATTTTTTCGCGAGACGAGATCAGACGAGACGAGACGAGACTCTCTACGACTCTCGTCTCGTCTCGAGTTAATCTCGAGGTCGAGACGAGACGAGATTGATGCTCAGGCGAGACGAGACGGGATCAACCGCTAATCTCGTCTCGTCTCGTCTCGCGGCATCACTATAGAAACCTACTTATATCCAATTTGGAAAAAAAAACGTTTTCGGTAGAAGTATTTTACAGAAGCTATATAATTTTGAAGCTTTTGTTTGCTTGAATTGTCAAAAATGTATGCCTATAATTTTCACAATAATTACCTTCACAAGATTGAATGAGTTTGATTTGAACCTGCATATTACATTGTTTAAAAACGTTTTATTTTCAATTAAAAAGAGTATCTATAATGTTTTCTAGCTGACACGCAAACAACTTTTTTTATTTATAAAAATGGATCAATATTTTCAATTTTATTATTAATATTACGAACAAATATAATAATAGAAATGCTTGAAAAAAAAAGCAATGACAATTAGTTCTAACGAAAAGCCGAATGATTCACAGCGAAAATCGAGGGAGTCCTATAGCATCTTTTTCTACTACTACTACTACTAATAATAATAATTCCGTGATTATATTACCAAAGTTTCGAATCGAAAAAAACTTATTCTAGACTTCCCGAGTTCTTTAAATTCCTATAAATTTGAATTAATTGAAGAAGTTCGCCATTGAAATTTAAATAAAAATAATGTAATTAAGTTATTAACTGGCATAGATGAAAAATTATAATCTCCCTTTTTTTCAGAAGTTAAGGTTTAGCATAAATGTGCAGATTTTTTTACAAAATAACTAAATGAATAGACAAGTCAACGTTAGCTTTTAAGCACATCCGAATTATTTTAGAGCACTTGTAACGATGCTTTGATCTGCTGGCTTTGTAACAAAAGAGCGATGCACAATATAAAATAGGGCGTTACAAAAGAACATTGTAACAAAATACAAATTCAAATTGACATCCTTAAAACAAACATCATGGCAAAGACAATTCAAATTGCATACTCTTTGGTGGCCTTTGGAATTTGTTCTCTTGTTTCCCGTGCATTTCTCGCACCTCACTTGTGTGTGCCCAAATGCCTGGTATATGTAGCATTATCGAGGCTGGCCGAATTTGCTCTTCCTCTCAAACCGGATATCAAACCATAAGAATCTCATGTTAGGCAAGAGCAGCATCGCCTCATTCAGAGGGCCTACTTGAGCTTTACACTAAAAGCCCTCACTTTTTGGTTTCCTCCAAAACGACGTGTTGTTGCATCAAAAAAACTGGTGTCCAATGGATCATGGAAAAAATTAAATTAATATCAGGGCATGATCGAGTTAGAAATGGGAATCAAAACGGTAAAACAAAAGTACAGGACGTGTCACACTTAATTGCTGGTCTGAAACGACGCGACGTTAGGCTGTCCATCTATCTAGAATGCTGCGACAGAGTGAAGGAGATCGCGGAAGACGATATAGATAAAGTAGATGAGGATACGCGGACTAGACTCAGACTCGCGAAAATTTGAGGAGGCGTATGTCCAATATACATAACATTAAAAAGGCTCTGGAACGAAAGAGCGCTGCACAAAAGAGCGCTGCACAAAAGAGCGCTGTAACAAATGAGCGCTGAGATTGGGTCGCATTCCGAGGACGGGTTAGTATGGGTTAGATTGGGTTATTTTGTATTCATTTTTTGTTCGAGCAATTTGATGAAATTCAGAAACAGAGATTGGGTCGCATTCCGAGGACGGGTTATTTTGGGTTAAATTGGGTTATTTTGTATTCTTATCTGTTCGAGCAATTGGACGAAAATCAGAAACAGAGATTGGGTCGCATTCCAAAGACGGGTTAGTTTGGGTAAGATTGGGTTATTTTGTATTCATTTTCTGTTTGAGCAATTTGATGAAAACCGGAAACAGAGATTGGGTCGCATTCCGAAGATGGGTCAGCTTGGGTTACTCTTTGGTTACAGCGCTCTTTTGATACAGCGCTCTTTTCTGCAGCGCTATTTTGTTACAGCGCTCTTTTGTGCAGCGCTCTTTTGTTACAGCGCTCTTTTGATACAGCGCTATTTTGTTACAGCGCTCTTTCATTACAGAGCCCATTAAAAATCAACAAGAATATTACAATCAAAGTCATCCAAATTTAGGCACCAACAACCGACCATGGGGATCAAGAGGTAGAGGAACTTTATGAAGAGGTAACGCAGTGTCTGCAAGAGAACAAAACAAAGTACACACTAGTTATGGTAGATTCAAATGTAAAAATAGGCCAAGATGAGACCGACTCATGTTACATGGACAAATTCGGATATGATACAAGAAATGAAAGAGGCAACATACTAATCAACTTCTTAGAAAGAGAGCAACTCTTCGCTATGAACACATCATCATTGTTGGGTCAGAAGAGATCTCTGATATAGAAGAGGAAAAAATTGCTAAAAGGTAAAGCCAATTAAACAACGGAAAAGCTCCAGGAATGGATGATATACTACCAGAAATGCTGAAGGAGACAGGAGAATACCTTGTCAAACAACTGAAAAAACTTTTCAATAAATATCTAACGGAGGGGAAAGTACCACACTACTGGGAGACTGCCATCATTATTCTGATATTCAAAAAAGGAGACCCATCAAATTTCGAAAACAATAGACCCATAAGCCTCCTGTCTTAGATATACAAACTTATTATGATGATTACCAACCTAAAGAAT